AAAGCATTTGAAATTTATTTTTTCAAAACTTAAAATCTACTTTAAAACTCAATTTTAAAATTTTCTTCTAACAAAATTTTAAATTTATAAAAAAAATTTATTTTTAAAACATATTTTTTAAGTTTTGCTAAACACCCTGGGAAGCTAGCAATACTAACTTTATCATTTATTGTTATAATATTGAGTTGTGTAAAGACTATAGGAAAAACTATAGAGCATTCATGATTAAAAGGGTGAAGTACTTATTGTTTAGCACCAAACACCACCTTCTAATTTCGTTTTATTTAATAATATCATAAATTGTTAATGTTGATTAGTTGTTATTATGTATCAAAGTGGATTGTTAGTGAATCAGTCCTTCTGAATATAATATTGGCAGGTAACTCGCTTGAAATGTGGTGGTTTCATCTTTGCCCTCCGCCTCAACCATACCATGAGTGATGCTTCTGGTCTAGTGCAGTTCCTAACGGCTGTGAGTGAGATGGCCCATGGTGAAAGTGTCCCTTCAGTCATGCCCTTTTGGGAAAGGCATCTCTTTAATGCGCGGTACCCTCCACGTGTGACCTGCACACACCATGAGTACGAGGGGGCAGCTAATACAGAGGGCACCATCAGCCCACTTCATGACATAGTCCAGCGCTCTTTCTTCTTCGGCCCCTCTGAAATATCAACCGTTCGTAGTTTCCTTCCCCACAGCCTTCGTCAATCTTCTACTTTCGAAGTGTTGACTGCGTTCTTGTGGCGATTCCGCACCATAGCTTTAGACATAGATCCCAATAAAGAGATGCGAGCCATATCCATTGTCAATGCCCGTTCGAAGTTCAATCCTCCTATATCCATGGGATTTTACGGGAATGGGTTTGCTCTTTCAACGGCTCTAACAACTGCTGGGAAGCTTTGTCAAAACCCATTGGCGTATGCATTGGAATTAGTGAAGCAGGCAAAGGCAGACATAACAGAGGAGTACATGAAATCAGTGGCGGACTTGATGGTGATTAGGGGTCGACCCCCGTTCATTATGGATGGAACATTTTTGGTGTCTGATGTAACACGAGCTGGGCTTATAGATGTGGACTTTGGATGGGGCAAGGCAGTATATGCTGGAGTGGCAGCAATTGGAGGTAAACTGATGCCTTGGGTTATAAGTTTTTTTATGTGGTTCAAGAACAAGAGAGGAGAAGAGGGGATTGTGGTGCCCATTTGCTTGCCAACTCTAGCTATGGACAAGTTTGTGATGCTGCTTGATAACATGTTGAAAGAGCAGCCTCTTAGGAGTAATAGTAGGCTGTAGAAGAGTTAAGTTTGTGTTAACGTATGAGATCAAGTCTATTAACTAGTTATGTTAGTTCTTGTGTAGTGCCCAGTTGCAATTACTTTATTTTGCTTTGTGGTGTAGCAGTTCATGTTGGTAGTTTTTAACTTCTTTGTTTTCAGTGACTGTCATATATAAGTTTTTGGTTTTTTCCTAGAAACAATATGTATGTTTGATGCTGTGATTTTTTGATATATCAAAACATATATAAACTCATGTATTTCATTTATCAAGTTTAATTTTTGAGTTTACGTTCACTTCATGTTGATTTCACTTAAGTTTCATCTTTACATCTTCAAATTGGTAAAAGAGCAAATGGTGTAGCATAGCTACTGGTAATTTCAGTATTGGGTTGGGCTTAGCAAAGTGAGAGTGTATGTTATGTAAACTCATGAAACGTATACCCATGGACCATGTATGTCAAAAAAAAAAAAAAATCATGTATGTATTTCAAGCACAAAAAAATGGAAAATGAACTCTCACAACTCACAAGTGAAAGGGGAAGTGTTGAAGTATTTTGTTCCCTTGTGAGTGTGAAGAATTAAAGTCCCATGTTGAAGAAATGTGAAAGGAAAGAATGGCTTAAATTTGTCAAGACCCATATAACTATTGGACTAATCTTTTGGTTACAATGTGGTGTCAAAATATGTGATAGGCCACCAAATATGTCTCCCAGTTAAGCCAAATGTCTCCCCAACAAGACATAAATTTCTACTTAAGTGAAAGCATAAATCAAACATGAGTGAAACATGAGTGACAAGTGAGGGAGAGATCTTTTCCTCTAGTATTCATTGGAGAGAATTGTGAATCTTGGGCTATTAGAGTGAAAGCTTTAGTCAAAGTGAATGATGTCTGGGAAGTCATCAAGCATGGTTTCTAACTTCCTTTTCCACAAGACAACCCAATAGTGGCACAAATGAAAAGAAACACAAAGTATGAGGTAGGTACATATAAAACACTTTCTTTTCTGCATAGTGTAGTGACAAATGATATTTTCCCTGAGATTGTGTCTTGTGAGAATGCACAAGAAGTTTAGGAGGCACTTAAAGAAGAGTATGAAGGAGTGTTAGAGATAAGAGTGTGACATTGTTAGCTTTCAAATGAGAGTTTGAAATGTTGAAGATGAA